CGTTTCTGGACACTTTTCACATCTCGAGCACGTCGATTCTTGGCTGTCGCAGCCAACGCTTCCGACGCTTCTTCGCCGCCATTGAGCTTGGTGTCCTCCCTTATTAGTCGTTCCTGCAGGTTATCGAGGGTCTGTCTTGCAGGCTCGACGCTATCCCACGCCACCTGCAGCGTGTTGAATCTCGAAGTTAGGCTCGCGAGAATTTTCGCCATGATCGTGGCGTCTGATACGTCCTCGCCAATGTCCTTGAGTTGTCCCGCCATATTGGTTATTCGCGCCACGTGCTGAATCGCCGTGTCGGCTTCGCTCATGCGATACGCGTGGAATCTCTGTAGTAGACCCAATTTGTTCGTTTCAGTCTTCTGCTCGTGGATTAAACACATTTTGTCCCACATCTGCTTCGCAGACGTGCACGATAACACACACACTTGTTGCGCTTCGTCGAGATTCGACAGAATGATGAACCTCGCTGTTGCGTCATCTTTCACATTTTTCTTCACTGCAGCCTCGCGTCCATCACCTTCGGCGGGCTGCGCTCGAGTCCCATCAACGACATCGAGAACCTCGTTCATAACGAATAAAGCGTTGATTTGGGCTTTCCAGCCCTGAAAATTCGCTCCATCGAATGGCTTCACGCCCTTTACCGAGATGCCGACAGACATCGTGGATTCTGTTCACTTGCGACACGTTAACACCGGCACTCGAACAATGGCGGACTTCCGTTCCGCGCCACGTGAGACTTTGCCGCAAAACTTACTCAGTATTTTCTCCCTTTTCACAGTTAATCGATAACTGGGCCCATAACCTGTTGGAGCAGGGTCTTGGAGAGTACTTTGTGAGTGATTTAGAATAGACACAACCTGATGGAATAAGAATGAATATTTATTGAAAAATGGCTCGTAGCTTGTCGCATCCACACATATTCGTGGTTACGAGACAACTGCCTTCGCTGGCGTTGTCGTCGTTCGTCTCGCCTAGGGTCGCGAACATAGGCGAGGTTTGCCGAGTCTCGCTCGGCTCGACTAGGACGTAGTAACGCGCGAGAGTCGCGCGTCTGTACATCCGAAACAGAAATATTCAAACTACTTTGCTTTAACAGGTATTTATGCTTTATTCTGTTATAAGTTTTTGTAACACCTCGGTGTCCTCCTGTAGGTAAACAATGCGTTTCTCCGATTAATATGGGACGAAGATCCTTAAGTGGATACTTAACTAGTCCGTTGCATATAATTAATTTAGTAGTGGAGTCGATAAAAACTAATTGCAATATAGCTTTAATATCGCCCCATGGTACGTTGTTAACGTAATCTGTTCTGGCGATGCTAAGAGTCTCTAGATTCAGGTTTTCGACGACAGTCCTTAGATCTTTTATTATTGCAGAAATTTGGATGAAGATCATTGTTGGTCCCTCACGTTGTCCTTCGCTGACAGGCAAGACCAAATGGTAGTGTTTCTTATTCTTTATTGCTTTGGCTTTACCTAAGACGAGATCTCCTAGGCGAGGGATCTCATTTCTTTCGAATAGTTTTTGTGAACCTGAGTCTAGCGGTTTTCCATTGGTGTCTACAAAATATGCAACGTTGTCCCTTCGTAAAAATATTAGTTCGCGAGAATCGAGAATATTATTTTTAGTTTTCTGATCGTTAATGATGATAGGTTTTGATTTCCTTTTTTGTTTTCGAGTTGAATCCTTTCATTCGAATTCTTCTTCTTCTTTTGCTTCTTGATTCTCCTCGTTATCCTCATTTTCTGTATTGCCCTTTTCGTTGGGTATGTCATCTCCATCTTCTATTCTTTCGCTTACTTGTGGAAAATTCTTGGGTAAGCTTCCCTGCTGAGTATCCCTATTTTTTGCCGTTTGGCTTCGAGTTTGAATCTTACTATTCCAAGGAGGGTCGTAAATTAACGCTCTTTCTGTAGCTTGTGAATCTTGTAATTCTTTTATCTCTTCCCGTGCTGAGTTCATAACCCTTTCATCCTGATTATCGTCTGGTAATAGGTTTTCGAGTTGTTCGTCATCCGTCAGATATAATTCAAAGTCTTCATCCTCCTCGTTTTCTTCGTCTGAGTCTTCTAGCATCCGAGAAATCACTTCTGCATCCTTCGGATCCTCGGGATTAAGAAGTTTGTCATGGTTAATTATATTGCAATTTGCTTCTTCAGAATTCACTGGATTGCGTGATAATGCATCGGCATTCACATTAGTTTTACCTGCCTTGTATACTACGTCATAATCGTATTCGGCTAACTTTAATCTCCATCAAAGTATTCTCATGTTTGCATCTTGTGCGTTCTTAAACCAGAGCAACGGTTTGTGATCTGTAACTAAGGTGAATTTTCGTCCGTATAGGTAAGGTCTAAAATGTTTGATGCAATATATTATGGCTAAAGCTTCCTTCTCATAAGTATCATATTTTATTTCGTTTTCGGTTAGAGTTCGAGAAGCGTATGCTATCGGTCGATCTTTATTTATTTCTCCTTGTGATAAGATGCCTCCTACGGCTGTTCCAGAAGCATCAGTAGTTAAGATAAAAGGTTTAGAAAAATCCGGATATTGTAAAACAGGTTCTTCACATAATTTCTCTTTTAAGGCTTCAAAAGAGTCTTCTTGGTCAGACGTCCATTCAAACCGGACATCATTTTTTAATAGATTAGTCAGAGGTTTGGCTAGTTTCGAAAAGTTTGGTGTAAACCTTCGGTACTATCCAGCTAATCCAAGGAATTGTTTAATATTCCTTGGAGTTTTAGGTCTTGGAAAATGTCTTACAGCTTCCAATTTTTTAGGATCCGGTTTAACGCCATCAACAATAACATCTATTGCAGATCTCATGGTTTAATTCCGTTTTTATATTTATATTAAACATACATTTTTATAATTTCAATTTGTGTACGATTTTAATGTGCGTCAGTGCGCACTGAGTGCAGATCCAATCGAATTCGCTGTAAGATAGAACGACGCAACGTGTGAGCACTAAAAGCGAATACATCCAATGAATTTTCAAATAGATTTCCACATCACCCTTGAGGTACTATTGTTGACGCGTTTTTTTTTAAGTGGTATCCCCAGTAGGCCTAGTCCACTGATAAAAATGATGAATTGTACGACCATTTAAATTTTTAGTAATTGAACAAAATAACAGATCGAATTAAGAAAATTCAATACGATTTTCGGAATCTTTTACGGGCGAAAGCAGAAACGTCGATTTTCATATTACTCGTAGCGATCCGTATAAGACGAGGTAAAGAATTATCACTCAAGGAAGAACGTCTTTCATTTTTTATTAATTTCATTTTGGAAAATGATGTCTCACATAAATATGTGGATCCAAACATAGAATGAATTCGAAGTCCGAAATCTCGAAGCTTGGGATATGATGATTCTTTCAACATTTTGTAAAAATCGACACCAGTTTCTTTAATCGTTTTAAGCGAAATATCGTTCTGTAAATCAAATAATTCATCCTGCAAATCAAGATGCTGTTCTTCAATTGGAGCTGTAAGGGGATTCTCGAAAAGAATTAATTCGGTTTTAAGTTTCTCGAAACAAGTAAACCGCTTATCGAATTCGTCTATTAGAGAATCTAGAAAATGAGTATATTCTTTGAAATTACAAACATTGCCATGTTCTTCGAGAATAATCTGACATGAGGGAAAAAAGTGAAATATATTATCATTTAAGTGAGATTTCAATGCCTGTAATTTTCTTCGAAAAGAATTAACATGACTGACTAACTGGGAAATATTTTGATTCATCTTTTGCAGCTTTAAATTGAGAAACCTAAGTTGATTACTTATATCAGTAATAAAAGCGAGTTCAGTAAGAAATGTGACATCTTCCAAAAGGGATATATATTCATGAAATTTTGATTTGTTCATTTCTTTTAGAAAAAGAAGAATCTCTTTTCTTATTGTGAAAAATACTTGTAAACATTTTGCAGCACTAAGCCAACGAACTGGACAATGAAGTGGGACATCTGTGTAAACAGCTTTATGTTCGTCAAGAAATAATTTAAATTTTCGGTGAGTCAGAAATTTGTGTCCACCTTTAATTTCATTGATTATTTTAGTGATAGTCTCCATAGCTGTTGAAAGTTTTACAACTTTACCGGCTAATGCTTCCTGATGTATTATGCAATGTATAAAGGGGATATTTAAATTTCGCTGTTTTAATTGGCCAGCAAGTCCTATCTTTGAACCTGTCATCGCTTTCGCACCGTCAGTTGTAATCGAAGAACATTTACTAAAATCTATGTTAAACTTTTTAAGAGTTTCTTCAACTGCCAAAAAAATATCGAGACCTGTTGTTGTGTCACGTAATACGACAAAATCTAAAAGTTCCTCGACACACGAGTAATCGTTTTGCACAATTCGAGTAAAAATACTCAGTTGGCTCATGTGTCGAATATCGGTACTTTCATCAAGGCACAGAGAAAAATATTTACATGATTTTAGAAGATCCTGTAACTTGTCTCCTATAGAATCATTTATATCAGCAATTCTTGAAGTTACAGTTTTTGCACTAAGGGGAATATTCACTGCTTGCTCCAAAGTTAAAGAATTGCCAAAAACTTTTACTGTTTCGATAATACAATCTTTTATAAAGGCACCTTTGGTAAATGGCTTAGAATTTTGTGCTATAAGCAAAGACACAGCTTAAGACGCTTGTAGGGAAGAAGAATCATCATTGGAAGAAGAAGAAGGTATTGAATTTTCTTGATGAACTAATTTCAAACCTTCGATAACACTCAGTTTCTCTGAATTTGAGTAATTCGAATAATTTTTCTCATGACGGTTTTTGAAATGCTTCTCAATCACAAATTTTTTAGCAACCGAAGGTTCATATCTACAAAGTAAACAAATCGTCCGACCTGAAATACAACTAAAAAAGTAATTAATTTCCCAAGATTTATCAAAAACTTGAACATACTTATTTCTCTCCATCCCCGCGCGCGCGATGTTAATTTCTCAGTAAAATAATCAAATTAAACGTATTTACCTTTATGCTACAGATAGCAATTTATCTCTTTGCTGTCTCGATCTGCCGAATATTTGTTATGTAAGGTACGAGAGACGAACTGCTCACGATATAACAATCGCTGACGCCCGCGACCGCGACAATTGCCGAAACGTCGACAATGAACGTCGACAATAAAAAACTAGAATTTTTCTTCTTTAATTTTTATTTTTCTCTCTGCCAATCAATGGTTAAAGCGAATATTTAAATTAATCATTATCGAAACACTGTTACATTTTGTAGCACTTTGTGAACCAACTGACAAACAACATACATGATAACTATGATAGTTATACTTGATAGGCTGCTTTTAATCTAAACTATTTTCATAACTTTTACTTCAACTATTTGTTTCATCCATCGGAAGTTTTTTGAGAGCAGGCCGCCATGTTCTTTTTTGAGTCATTAACAAATTGATACTCTGAAATT